TGCACAGTGAGCATGTTTGCAGAAATTTTTTACCCTGCTTCCTCAAAGAGTGGTGTCTAGTGATGAAAGAGACTGATCCTTGTTTACTGTAGTCTCAATAAAGTGACATTCAATCTACATTTAGGAAGAGAGCCAAGGTTTAAAAGTTGGAAGTAATACTTACAACTTAAATGGAAAGAAGGAGCTCAGAGAGACTCCATGTTGCTGACAGTCCCTCAGCTATACCTGGAAGTCAGACATTTTGAGTCCAACTATTGATAATTATTTTCTCTAACATTTCTGGGAGACACGTAACTTGTCATTGTTTATACCTAAAAAGCACAGAATCAGTGTTGACATAACCATATGATCCATGCTCTGGGCATGAAAAGGAAATGATAGTTTCCTCTTTAAAACAAACATTTCATCCCACAAAGAGCTTACTTCCGGCATACACTAAAGGCCTGAGTTACCCTGCTGAATATCACAATGTAAGAATAAAGGTTTTTGGTTTCTGAAAGAGCTGTAATACCTGTTTTACTTTTTGATTTAAATTCTTGTTAAACACAAAAGTACTGAAAATGTTTTTTCTTTTTCTTTTTATTTGGTGGTACCAGGGATCGAACTCAGGACCCTGCCCTTGCTGGGCAAGCACTTATTCCACTGAGCTATCTCCTGGGCCCTGAAAATGTTTTTTCTCTTTTACAAGTTTTCAGAGAGACAAGGCAATATACAAACCTTAATATTTCCAACAAGATCCATTTTAACAGGAGCAAACACAGTAGGGCCAAGTTTATCTGGAAGAAAAGATCAAAACTTCTTTGAATTGTTTTTTGAGACAAAGTCGTGTGTAGCTCAGGTCTGCTTTGAACTCACTTACAAACCCTACACTGGCTTTGAACTCACATGCCTTCTGCCTCAGCCCCCAGAGTGTTAGGATTATAGGCAATACATATTTAAATTTTAACACAAAATATTTCTAATAGTAGCAATGCATTTAAAACACTTTTTCTCACACAGGGCTGAGTTTTGTTTCTATATCACTTTCTGAACAAGGTTGAGAAGCTTGGCATTCTTACTGTTGTTTGCTATCATACTACTCTGAAGTAAAAATAAAGAGGTCTTAAGTGGCACATGAAATGCAGATAATCTTATAAATTTAGAATACACTTTTGAAATCCTTAGGGCTGAATTGTCCAGTATGAATATTTAGCACCTGCAATATGACCAGTCTAAATTTTAAATGTAAGTGCATACCAAATTTTGCAGTACCAAAAAATGCAAAACATCCCAGTAATGATTCTTTCATATTGAGATATTTTCGATATACCATACTAATAAAACATATTAACTTTTGTTTTGCTATTTTTAATCTAACTTCTAAAAATACTAAATTGTGGTTTGAATCACAAGGAGGATCACTACAAGTCTAAGCTGCATAGTGAGAACCTGAGACTCTGTACCAAATAAATTTTAAAAAAGAAAAATATGTGACAGTTTAAAAAGTCTAAAGTAAGGCTGGGGCTATAGCTCAGTGGCATAAGTACCTGCCTGGCAAGCTCAAGGTCCTGAGTTTGAATCCTGGTACTGAAAGAAAAAAAGACCCTGCTCCTAAAAAGTCAAAAGTAGCCCAGGATATAGCTCAGTGGCACAAGCAACTGCTTATACAAGTGCAAGGTCCTAAGCTTGATTCCTGGTACCAAAAATCATCATCAGCATCAACATCATCAAATAAAAGACAAAAGTAGAAATAAAATAGACTAAAAAAAAAAATTGACCCTTGACTAAGCATGAGGAAAGGCATTATAAAAGAACACATGGAAAAACAAAATAAACAACAATTTGACAGAACCAAATAGAATTAATGTATTTCATTGTATTAATTACCAGAAAAAAGTGGTATTAATAATTACAGAAAAAGCTCTTTTTCAAAACAATTCTAGACTTAGCAAATAAAAGTCAATTTGTTTTAAATGTTCTCAATAAATAGCTAGAATATGAAATAAACTTTTCACAATAACATCAAACGCACAAAATTCTAAAATTTGTTCCTAAGAAAAAACTGTGTAAAATATTGTTAAGGAAAATAGATGATAATACTATTAAGTATATACATATGAAAGAGAATGGTTGACTGAATATGAATGGGACTGAAAGATTCAATGTTGTTCAAGATAGTCATTTTTCCCCAACTGATTTACAAACACAATGTAATCTTATTCTCTCTCTTTTTTAAATGCATTTGGTACAGGGTCTCACTACACAGCTCTTGGACTCATAGTGATCCTATTTACAGCCTTCCCAGCACTGGGATTACAGGCATGCGCCATCATGCCTGGTCTCAGTGGTCAGCTCAGTGCACCTGGGGGATGTGGCTGGTGTGGCATACGGTGCTGGGGATTGAACCTGGGTCCCTGAGCTTGCCTAAGCAGGTGCTTAGTCCCCTGAGTTATTTTGCTGGCCCACAATGCAATCTTAATCAAAAGGCTTTTTAACAGTTGAAAAGCTGAAATTTATACACACACACAAAAGATCTAGATAAAATTGCCAAAACAATCTCAAGTAAGAACAAAATTGAGGGTTGGGGAGATGGCTCAGTAGAACAAGTGCTTCCTTGGCAAGTGCAAGGGCCTGGGTTCAATCCCCAGTTCTGCAAAAAAACAAAACAAAACAAAACAGAACAGAACAAAATTGAAAGACTGGCATTAACTGTTAACATCAAGAAATACATAGATAACTGAAACAGCAAGAGAGTTCAGAAATAAGCTCACTTAATAGTCAACTGGTTTTCTACAAAATTGCTAGAAACATAAGAGAAAACTACCATTTGTTTGATCAATAATTCTTGATCAGATTATCATAAAGAAAATAGAAATGAACCTCAAATTTCTCACTCATATAAAGTAATTCCAAGATGGAGGACAGGCCTAAGTGTAAAAATTTAAGAGTCTAGACAAAAGAATATTTTATGACCTTTGGTTGTAACAAAGATTTCTTAAAACATGTGAAATATTAAACATTAAAGAATAAGTTGGAAGGAGGATCACTAAGAGTCCAATCTATGCAGTGAGACCCTGTACACCCTGTCCTAAGATACAATAAAAAAGTTGGATTTCATCAAAATCAAAATTCTGCTTTTCAAAAGACATCTTTAAAAAGACAGTAAGCCATAATCTGAGGGAAAATATTCATGATGCCAAATGCTACTGAGATGTAAAGCAGTTAGGATATTTATATGCAGCTATTGGAAGTATATAGTCATGCCACCACTCTGTCAACAGTTTGGCAATTTATTATAAGGTTAAACAGCAATCTTTTTTTTTCTGGGTTGCAAAAGAGGATATTTTTTGCATCTGTTCATTTAAGTTTTAGTCCACAAAAGTGCCATGGTACAATGCAATGTATATTTAACAGAAGTCAGTTATACAATGGTGATCATAAGGAAAACCACAGTTAAAATAGAAAAACTATTTACCAGGTACATTAGAAAGCTATTTTTCAGCTGCTGGGGAATCAAATGGAGGGCCTCATGTTGGGGTTAAAAATAGTGTTCCCAAGAATCTACAGAAGCTGGATGGATGCCACTAACATTTTCTTTCTGGTTGGATGCCAACGACCAGTGTTTTCTTTTGACATTCCAGTGACACCTGAGCTCTTACTTAGTCACAAGCACTGATGAAGAACAGCAGGCCTCACATACAGGAAGTGGTAGCTCAGCTTTTCCCCAGTGTTTAAAAATTTAAAGTGTTTTTATTTCTTTAGTTTCTTCCACAAACTTGTTCAAGTTTTTATTCTTCTCCTTAGTTCTTGGTTTAAGACTTCAAGGGTATCTCCATGTTAATCTTTAGTCATTTCTTCCTACTTAAAAAGCCCACCATCACTTTCTGTATATTGTTTACCTTCTTTGACATTCACGTTTATCTCCTTTTCAGATCTTTCTGCCCTCTGCCCATTATTTCTGGCTTTAGAAACTCTCTTCATAGATAAAGCAGCTTCTTTATTATTCTCTCATGGTAAATACACATTCATCTTGCTTGGAAATTCAGAACTTATAATGAATCAACTCTCCTCTACTAATTTGATGTCACATGCATCATGTTCAAGATGTGCTGTCTCATCTGCTTCTGACTCTTCAATAGGAGAAATGGGGACGTCATCATCCAAGTATTTCTATCTATGACTATCAAGGTCTTCTTTTTCTAAATCCTTACCAACATTCATTTGTTTCAATGATTCCTTAAGATGGTGTTCATATTTGTTTTTCAATATAGTTAAAAAATCCTCTTGCAACACCTTGCTCAAAACTTAAAATTTTCCTCCAAGGTAATGGTTTTCCTTCCATCCTCAGACAGTAAAATTGGGAACATAGGTCCTTTTTCTTTGATTTGTTTTTTTATCTATTTGTGACCTTCTAGTGTTTCTCTTCCCTTTTGGTCTTCCTCTTGGTGTTAATTTTGGCATATACTTCCTCTTTTTACATTTATTCTTTTTCTTGAATCTTTCAAAAATATTCTTCAAAGTCAATGGTCTTGGTTCTATGGATGAGTCACTTGATGAACCTGTTTGAATACTCTAAGGTATACGAACAAATTTCCTCATGGATTTTGAGTCTCTTTAGGTAAGGCAAGTACACGCTGTGTTTTAAATAAGCTGCTACCAGATGAAGAGCTATCACTTTGATTTTCAACTTCCACATCTGTATCAGATGTCATATAGTTAAGAGGATCCATTCCTGATTTTCTACCACTTTTTCTCGGTCTTAAAGAGTTTCTTCTCCAACTAAGCTGTGGGAAAGCTTAAATAGCAATCTTGACCCAAAGCATTTACTCAAAAGAAAGAAAAACATGCCCACAGACACAAAAATATTCAGGAAACCTTTATTTGTAACAGAAACTATCCAGTTGTCTTCAAATCAAGAAATGAATTATTGTAAGGTTATTTAATAAAACATCACTCAGTAATAAAAATAAATAAATTGATGATACATGCAATAAGGGTAAGTCTCAGAGACATGCTAAGTGAGTAAAGCCAGAAGCAAGAATATATGACTCCATTTATGTGAGACATGTGAATAGGCAAACCTAACCTGAAGTGACAGAAATCAATAAAATGATTGCCTCAGACTGAGTAAAGCATTGAGAATCAACTGTCACAAGGAACGTTCTAGGATAATGAAAATGTTCCTTATTTTGTAGGGATACAAATTATATAGGTATAGGCAAATTACATAGGTATAGGCAAATTATATAGGTGCACTTATCACAACTCAATCATAATACTTCAGTTCTATAAGTTATGCCTAAATGTTTAAAAATTGACATTTCAATGCATTATATAGCAAATTTTATCACATTAGCAATTGCTGGAAATACTTTATACTAAATAGATTAGAATTTAAATGAATTTATACACACATTTTTTTTTCCCCCTGAGGATTAACCCAAGGCTTCCCATGTACTTGTAAAAGCTCTACTAGTAAGCTATATCCTAGGCCTTTAACAATTTGGGCATAGGGTCTTGCTAAGATGCCCAGGTTGAACTTGAACTTATGATTCTCATGCCTCAGATTTCTCAGTAGCTTGGATTACAGGCATGGACCACCATTCCTGGCCTATAATGGTTTTATAATCTTTGTTGTAACTAGTAATTTTTAAAAATAGTATCAATAGCTTTGGTGGCCTATTCTTCAATTATTTTCACTTGTGCTTTTATATATACTTTCTAGAAAACACGATTCTGTTTTCATTATAGTACTCTGAGATCAATATTTAATCATATTAGACATGAAACGGTAACATGCATTAATGTTTCATGGTCACAGAATTTTAATTTTATGTGTCTAATCATATGAAGGGTAGTCTCACTATATTTCTTCTGAAAAATAATGCAGTAAGACATTCTAGAAACTAAGGAGTATAAGGTTAGTACAGAAATCTTACCTAATACTGGAACCACAGCATAACATGATGCCAAAAAAGGTTCTGTGGGAATGCCACTGTCTTCCAGAAGTTCAATGTCACTAAAGCTTAAAAATTTGGTGAAATCAAGGAGGAAAGATGGAAAATACATCAGCATTCTCTGCAGTTCAAAGACAGTCCTTGAAACAACTGCCTCTCTGTAGGGCAAACTATTTGTCCTGACTTCATGGATATCCCCGAGTGATTTTTTTTTTTTTTTTTAATTATAAAATGGTCCAATCTGTTCATACAGCACATCCTCTTCACAATCCAATTCCTTTTCACCCACTATCCAGACAAGGTAAATGGTAAAGTAGATAACTTGGTATATCATGTCCTCTTTTCTCTCAGTACACATCATCACTTGCAAGTACCTCTATGGATGATGTTCCAGAAGGGAAACCAAAGCCCAACTGTCAGCGATTTTAGAAAGTGTATACTACCTGGTGTTCATAGTACTAAAAAAAGTTGGGATGACTTCTTTTTCTTCTTCCCAGAGGGATTCTGGAGAGCAATTTGAAGAGTTTGATCTAGGCTGTGCCAAGTTACTGTCCTGATTTTTCAAGTTTTCTTCTCCATCTTCCTTCATTATTTCACCTTGAACTGCAAAGTATAAGATACCATCATTAATCTATTACATAGATCTTTTACAAATGGGAAGTATACCAAGAGATGAGGGGGAGGTTAGCAAAAAGAATTAAAATGTGTTATTTATTTACATGTACCAACTTCCCATAAGGAATGTAATAATTATGTGCTGCAAACATGTACTAATAAAACTCAAAAAACACTAATGTAGTCGGTGAAAATTGGTAAAAGACTAAATACATGGAAAAACAAAAATCTAAAATACTGTACAATACATACATATATATTCAAACAAAATTGGTCTTAAATAGCAGATTTTATTCTGCTTATTTTCACTAACATGCTTCATGAATATTTCCATTATCATTCAACACTGTTGAAAAACATTATTTTAACAACCATGTAATACTGCATCATGATCATGTAAATGACATTAGATAACTTGCAACTTCTATTATAAATATAGTCAATCCCCATTCTGAGCATATTTGGTATTTGTGACCTTACTTACTTGCTGAAATTTGTTACTCTCAAATCAATACAGGTAGCACTTTTCTAGTCATTTATGGACATATGGAGAATGGTGAAAAATTTGTCACCTGACACATACATTCCTTGCTGAGGTGAAAGAAGGTAATGTTCTGTCTTGTTTCAGTTCTCATATTATAAATCTCCTTTAGTAGCACTTATTTTGCATGTTTTGGATCTTCTGTTTTGTAATTGAACCTAAGGCCACATACATGCTAGGCAAGCACTCTATCCGTGAGCTACATCCACAGGCTTCTAAAATTTTGAGATAAAGTCTTACTAAATTGCTTAAACTAGCTTGATCTTGTAATCCTCCTGTCTTAGCTCCTGAGATACTGCGATTACAGGCATATACCACTATGCCTCACTATGTTTGTGCTTTTTAAAAAGGGCCCTAACATATAGTACTGCTTAATGTACATATATAATAAAACTATAATGTGTTTCAGGAACATATTTTATTTAACAAAATATGTCTGCTACATAAACTTCTTCCAGGCACTAATTACAGTGCTACTGGCTGTTGAGTTCAATGCTAGCCAATCAACAATACATATAAATGTGGTGTCTTTAAATGGGAGCACACACAAAACATGTCACCTGACACATTATATACTGACTGATCAATAAAAAAATGTTGTGACCAAAGGCTTGAAGGGAACTCACTTTGTTATTTCCTCTAGAAGCAACAGCACTAACTGCAAAGTCAGTATTTGGGTGACTTTATGAAACATAAATGTGGCAGAATAGAATTAAAGGTAAGCAGAAAAGAGATGAAATCTTAACTACAAATTGTACTGTTAAGAATATAGCAATTTTTGCTCCTCAGCCAAAGTTCCCTAGAAAAATTCTTATCACCATTGCTTGGTTAAAGTTGGACTCCACAACCCATCATACCCAAAATTCTGCATGAATACTCAAAGTCCACACATTGGCTTAATTGAAAAAGTAAAGAGCAGGAGCCTGATGCTAAAATAAAGGAGCAGGTTGAAAGATCCCAAAGAATATTTTAATTACGAGAAAGTCCAAAAACAAAAACTACCCATACCTGTACAATGAGATAGTACCTTTCTTGAGGAATGGACACCTTTTCCCAGGTTTCCATCCCTTTAAGAAAGCATACATGTTCCCTGTTTCAGTAAACAATGTGCCTTATTTTTCTGAGTGACTATATTTCACTCTTGAATGCATCTAAGATCTCTGGCTAATAAACCCTTCTTATGCCTCTTATGAACGTGTCTTGAAAATTTTTTCCAAGATGACACTCTGTGAACCGGCAAACCTACTCCATAAAACAGCAAGACTAGGCATGATGGTGCATGCCTATAATCCCAGCACTTGAGGAAGGAGGATCGTTGGAAGTTTGAGACCAGCCTGGGCTACAAAGTGAGCTCAAGACCAGCCTGAACTGCATAGTGAGACCCTGTCTCAAAACGCACGTGCATACACATACACACACACACACACACACACACACACACACACACAGACACACACACGGAGTGCATTAAGTTCCTTATTTTAGCTTGGGAACCGGTTGACATAACTATCATAAACAATGAGAAATGACTAGAATGCCATAAAGAACATCCCTTAAATTTGATTTCTGTCCTTAAATCTGACTAGTCTCTAAAAACAAATTCCTAGAAATAAAATTGATGGATCAAATATATGACAATATGTTTTGACAGAAATTCTCCTGTTTTTATTATTTATTTATGACATAAAACTTCAGTGATGTGTCATTTTTTTTTTAAACTAAGACGTTCTAAGATTAACATGTAAACCTCTGGATTCCTTTCTTAACACTGGGTCAAATAGGTAGACAGAATGGGTCTCCATGCTAATCCCTATGATGTACACCATCATGAGTATCAAACTCCCAAACTTCCTATTGTTAATGGTTTCAGATTTTACCTGTTATAGTCTCCTCTGTATTTTCTTCACTTGATATGCTACAGTCTATCTCTGCAGATTTCAAATATAAAGGGCTGTTTTTCGTTAGGATTTCTTCATCACCATTTATTTCCATACTTAAAGATCCATTTTCACAACTGTTCAACTCCATTTGCCTACAGTGTTTTTTAAAAGAAAAAAGCCAGAAAGTCCAGCGATTTGGTTATAGGTTACTTGGGCAGATGTTATTTTGATGAATAGGGAAAGAGGTCACAATCACCAAATCCTTTTAACACTAAAAACAGAATTGTCAAACTAAAACTCCACAGTCCCTCCCAGATACCAAGAAAGGCATCTGCCTATGAAGAGAAGCTGATCTATCTCAAGGTTGCAGTTCAGAACTCAAGAGCTTACTGGTTCTTCCTGTAACCTTAGCTAACTCAATCTTCCTGCTCACCACTAGCACTAGGAAAGACCACTGACAGCTGTTTGGCTTCCAATCAGCTATCTTAAGTATCAGATTTAACACATTGCCTTTCTCAAACTTTTCTACAGGAGGCTTTTTCTCAATACCACTAGTCACTTCCATGAATTTATTTGGCAGTTAACTGCCCAGAAGACACATGCTGTGGTCAGCCCCCACCTCAGTTATCTACTTGGAAGAAAAACACCTGAGAGGACCACTACACATCCTGAGGAACATGCTTCAAGGTAACAGAAAAACCTATTTAACATCCAAGTGAAATAGCTATTAATGAGACAATCATATTTTTCCCCTAATAAAAATAAGGGGAAAAGCTCAGGGTACATAGCAAGTCTAGGAAATAAAAACCAAATTGGGAAGAATTCTTGTAATAAGCAAAAAATAGTTTATATAGGACATGTACCAATGTGAAAAAACAAGTATCTGGACTATGTCAATATATAAAAATGCCTATATAACAAAGGCAAACATAATGATATATACCGTCCGTGTATGTATGTATATGTGTGTGTGTGTGTGTGTGTGTGTGTGTGTGTGTGTGTGTGTCTGAGATCAGACCTAGAGCCTCATTCATGTTAGGCAAGTGGGTTAGTACTGATTAACATTTTCAAGCCCAGCATGTACATTTTTTTAATTGAAGGTAGGTTTAGAGGAATAGAAATTGTTTATTTTGCTATAAAACTATATTTGCATCCTGTAAAGCTACTACTTAAGATTTTTATTTCTAAACAAAACAGAATAGCACTGCTGCCTTTTCTGGATAAATAAATTGAAGTAAATACTCAGTTCCTATATAAGAGAAATTCCAATCCTCATTAACTCTAGAGATGGAAAGTTACTAAATGTGATGGGTGAGAGCCACATCCTGCGGTACATGCCAACATTTTCTCCCTACTGCTGAATCAAGGTCTACATTGTTTTAAGCTCACCCAAAACTGTGAAGTCAGACACTGTCTCCTTCTAATATCTTTTTAAATCATGGAAAAACTACCTTATGATCAAAATGTCAGTCCCCCACTCCCATTTAAACAAGGAATAAATATATCCTTTTTTTTTTTTTTTTTTTGAAAGAAGAAAAAAAAATACCACACCTTTCCAGTGAATTGTGAATTGGTACAACAGGATGTTTCATCTTTAAAAGAAGCAAAAAAGTTAAAGTTAAACTTCCAGAAGGACATTATTTAGAATTTTATTATACATGGAAGTGGTACATATGATTATAATTTATACTGTCCCACTCAAACTATTTTAAGTCATCCCAAAGTAGAATCAATGGTCCCAATATGTCCTTCTCATTAATTAAAATAAGGGCACCCAGAGAGCCGGCCAGAGAGCTCGGCAGATTAAAGCACCTGCTTAGGTAGGCTTAGGGACAGGGGTTCAATCCCTGGTGTGCTGTACCAGCCCTGCCCCCGGGGTGCACTGAGACAGTGACTGAGACTGGGCGTGGTAGCGTATGCCTATAATCCCAGCACTTGGGAGGCTGAAAATAGGAGGATCACAACCAGTTCGATCTGTGTAGTGAGACCCTGTAGACTCTGTACTAAATACATCAAAAACAAACGAACAAGGGCACCCAAATTTCTAAGGAAAAGGAAGATGACCTTTGAAAGACCTACTTACCATAGCCAAACTCTTGGTGACTGGCTCTGTAATTCAGTTATATTTATTAAAGATTAACAGATAAGAAACCAAGATTCAGGTATTATATCGACATGAGAAGTATAGTAAACACTACAGGGTTCCTGTCCTTAAACTAATTTCAATAAAGAATAAGGCTCAAACAGGACAATATATATATATATATAAGGCAACTCTTACTTCAACCTAAAGATTTGGAGAAAACATGAAAAGGATGAGTAGAGTAAGAGCTAGTCTGGGAAAGAACTGAGATGGGCACTCTTGGCACTGGGTTATGACATAAGGGAGAGTGTATGAGTGGGAGAGAATAACACATAATACGTTCCAGCCAGGTAATAATATAAGGGGCTAAAATCTCTTAGCTTTAATGTATATGCAAAGAGGGAGCCAATGCCCAGTTTGGGTAAAGTGTTCCAATTTATATTACATGAATGCAAGTACTGTTTGCTGATTAGAAGGTAACTAGTTAGAAGGCCACTACCATTCTAGGCTAAATCTCTTGGACAAGAGGTTAAAAATGAAAGGTTATATTAGAGGTGTATATACATCGTCAAACTACCAAATAGTTGAATAGATATGGAAGACTGAAATCTGATATAAAAATGGACATAACAGAGGTCTACTAAAAAATGTCTTTATCAATCACCAAAGGCTATATACCCTTAGAATTTTGAGCTTTGTACCTTTGTTATAGCTTATGTCAAAAATATTCTCCAAAAGTCTCAGGGTCTTTTGGCAAGTGACTGAAACAAGGGGTGCTACACTCCTCTTTGATTAATAATTCAATGGTGAGTTCCTAGCTGAATGTGCTATTAGGAGGTGGGGCCCAGCTGGAGGAAGTAGGTCACTGGGGGAAGGCCTTGTAAGACACAGTTGTTTTTTTCTTCTTGTCTTTCTGTTTCTCGGCAGCCATGGAGTGAACAGCTTTCCTCTGGTAAGCCCTTCTGTCTTGCTGTTTCTGCTGGGGAGCTAGTTAATGGAACCATCTGAACTATGAGCAAAATAAACTGTACCTCCATCAAGTCATAGGTGTCAGGTATTTGTCTCAGCAGTGTAAAAGCTAACTAAATTAGCTGTGTTGCAAACAAACCAAGCTGGCCTTTTACCTTACTTGACTTCACCATAGCCAGCTGTGGTGATCCTGGAGGAGTGTGATAAAGCAGCTCAGAGGTGAAGGCTGCATTGGCAATCTGCATGCACTCTTCCAGGGTCTTCAGAAAAGTATTGCAAGTTGATTTCAACAGAGTACCCACATCAATTTCCTCCTACAACAAACAAACAACAACAACAGAAAGTGTGGAGGATGCTTATCTCACCAAAAAATAAAAAGTTCAATTGTGTTATGTCTTTTAAGGCTGTTAGCCACAAATTATTGGCAATGTACTATACTCAACTGTTCTGCTGGACAAATACATCTGTTAAAGAGGAAAAAAATGGAACTAGTACAATTCACCCATTTGCCATGCACAATACCTGTCTAAATCTGACCCTTCACATTCACCAATTTAAATTCACTGCAGCTAAAGGAGGCAATATCGTAAGATAACATGATGCCAGGTGCTGGACACTGAGTTCATGTGAAGCTTCCAGAAACTGCACATTTGCTTTTAGTATGGAACACAAAGAGGTTTCACTACTGTAATTCCTTTAAACAACAAACTGGTTTGTTTTTTTTCTATTACTAAAAGTTAGTTTACTGTTCACACTCAGACTGAAGAGTGAAAAGACCACATCTTAGTGGCCTCTGTATTTCTTTTACTTTGTATTTCTAACACATCCAGGTGATAGACCACATTTTTTATTAGCAAGTTTCCACAGCACTTTCTGTATGCACTTTCCTTCCTCAATTAAAGATTGTTGCGGTCACATTTTCTCTTTTTTTTCATCATCAGCACTTTTTTATTCAGCAACACAGATACTCCGGATTGGTTAATGTACAGAGGCAGGGTGCAACTCTCCTGTTCACTGTAAGATCAGTGAGCATCTTGGCTTCTACCCACTAGATGCCAGTGGCACTTCCTCAATCATGACAACCAAAAATGTTTCCAGACACTACAAAGTCTTTTTGGTGGTCCTTGGGCTGACAATACTACTCTACATTTTGCAATAATATAACTGATGTTTTGGTTGTCTACCTGCCCCAATCCACAAGCACAGTGATTACACACAACACAACACTGTCAAATGAATAGGAGAACCCAAGAGGCAGTATGTAGATGAAAGTGAGTTAAATCACCTTTATAAGAAAGGCCTCAACCTACAGATATTACTAGTAGCATGTATTCTATTACCTAAAAAATGAATTAAAACATTAAAAACAATCTATAAATTCTTTATGCTCTAGATATCATTCATCAGGCTATAACTTCTTTGAAAGGAGAAACACTCTTTGTTTAATGTGAACCATTCAATACACAGCTTCACACCACAGAGATCCTTTAATGTATTTTATGGTGAATGAATGACAATTTTATCTGGTCAAGTTAAAAATCACAGTTTTTTTTTTTTTTTTTTTTTTTTTAATTTTTATTTGTGTGTGTGTGTGTATGTGGCCAGCTCAGCCCACCAGGAGGCGGGGCTGGCTGGCATGTGGTGCTGGGGGATTGAACCGCGGTTCCTGTGTTTTGCTAAGCTTGTTCTAAGTAGGTGCTTTAGACCACTGAGCCATCTCACCAGCCCCACACAGTTCTTATTGATAGTGAATAAAGTTGTGTCACATCTCTGAAAACACACATCTACTTCAAAGCACAATTACGATAGTGAAATAAAAGGCAGTCTCACCAAAGATGACAAATACATACTAATGACAGACACACCATTAGCACATTATAACCACCCCTGGTAAATGGGTCTATAAGATAGGAAAGAACTGTGTTTTAAAAAAGCAGAACAAATAGCCAAGTGAGGTGGAATATGCCTATAATCCTAGCTACTTGGCAGACTGAGGCAGGAAGATCAGGAGCTTACAAAATAAAAAACAAGGGTGTAGCTCAGGACAAAGGTCTGGATTTAATCCTCAGTACTGACAAAAATTAAAAAAAGTGATGTAAATAGGGAGAAACATATTTCAGTATGTAAATCCTAAATTCGATATGGTATCAATTAGTTAATCCTGAATTCATTATGGGAAGGAAAACTATGCTTTCATAATCTGCAATGCACACATTTCTTTCTTTCTTTCTTTCTTTTTTTTTTTTTTTTGATGGGACCAGGGATTGAACTCAGGCCCTTGCACTTGCCAGGGAAGCGCTTATTCCACTGAGCCATCTCCCCGGCCCACACACATTTCTTTGTAAAATTTTTTCTTCTGAAAAATAACAAATTCTACTACTGTCAGGAATGCTGTGAGAATAAACATTACCAGTAAGCAATGAAATGTTACTTTTTCATGTATATCAGTAATACTACTAAAATATTTTACCTCAGAATTAGACACACCAGTTGTCACTTCTTTTGTTTTATCTACTTGCTGAACAAGGAGGTCACAGTAGAGTCTTAGTTCCGACATTTTGGTTTTCAAGTTTTCAGTGTTTTCAGCAAATTCTGAATAACAAAATTATAGTAGTATAGTTACCAGAATAAATAACAAATGTTAATATAATGCCCAGAAGTGGAATATATAACATAGGTTTATAGCATGAGCTACAGATGTGATAAACATGAGTGGGCAAGGACTTTACTTTAGTGATGCTGCAGTAAACTATCAGGAAAAGAGTACTTTTCCTGTCTTCTGAGGTAAAACACATTGCTTCTCAGGACAACATATTGAATAATCATCACTACAGGAAGAGAACATTTCATCTTGATCTCCTATCAAAAACCGGCAGCAGTAGGGTTTAAGCTCTGGTCCCAACTCTCCTACACTGAGTTTTAAGATGGGCTCCTACTGCAATGCTCAGAACTGCGAAACAAGTATTCTGTGATGCCCAATCATCATCAAGAACACTGTGTTTTATTTTGACTAAGGACTGGTTTAGCATGCTGCCTATTGAAGCTACTGGCACCTAGTCGTTAGTAGCAAGGTACCCTAGTGCTGCAGTCTCAACTACAATTACTATCATCCTTATACCTTCTCCATGAAAATACTGTATACTACCATCTGACTAAAAGTCAAAGCTTTTAGGATTAGCTTTAGGATGGCTTTTAGTATTTGTTACTGATTTTGTACCAAAAACAACCAATGAAGAGAAGTATCCACTACAATTCTCATGAGAAATGTTTCCTGGAACAATTTTCCTCCAACTCTCCCTTTCCTTTGCCCACCCAGTCTCTTCACACAGAACTGCAGAGCTGGGACAACAACAAGTATGGCCCATGCAGTAAGCCCTGTCATTTCTGCTCCAGTCCCGTGAGAAAATTGTGCCACGGCTGCCAGGAGATCTAATGATGTCAAGTTAATACTAAGCAGCAGCAACCTGACATTAGGTATCCATCTCACTTGAGAAAGGAAAGGGAATAAACAAGGTATTACTACCAAAAAGACCCTGACCCAAGGTTTTTCTGGCTTATTCTTTGCCAAAGTCTATGTTTAACTGGGTAATACAATTTGGTGCCTGACCAGGCATTACACTGTTCCTTCCATGTTATCACTAGTCCTCATAATAATCCCTCCAAGGTAGATATTATCATCTCTTTCTCAAAGCTCAGAAAATTTGAGAGACCTATGCCAAAGTCATAGAATCAATAAACTACAAAGTATTACTTGGACCCACTTGTGTGCAGCTCCAAAGCATGTATTCTTCCACCCTGATATGCTAAGAAGGTAGAATAAGCTCTACTGTGACACAGCATGCAAAAAACCTGGTAGGTGATCAGAGACAACATAAGTTTAAAAAAAAGGTAGGGGTGGTGTAGAGCTGTCAATGGGTGATTCCCAAGGCTTCCAGACTAGAAGACAATCAATACTTGCCTTTCTCCTTCTGAGTCCTACTGTCTGTCAGGCAAGCCTTGGCTGATCCCAGGGCTACCAGCCACCGCTGTCTCTCAGCCACACTTCTGGCCTTCAGGTAGAAATACTGTTCCCCAGGGATTATCAGATCCATTCGAGTATTATCTACAGAATGAACTGGGAGCAAGGCAGAGTGAGGTCAAAGACCTAGAAGCACTCCAAGTAGCCTCCGCCCCCTTCAACTTCTTGACCTCAGCTAATGCCAGTTCCTGAAAACTTCCCAGACAGGAGAGGAGTTCAGCCGCTGTAACTTCCACTACACACAACATTCTGTTTACTTATCTTTTCCAACACAGTTCTCTTCATCAAAAAAGGAAACCCTTTTAAATGGCTCTAAGCCATCACCAAATCTTTGACCCAAAAAACAATCACTCAATTTAATCTTCTATCAGAATACAGAAAGAACTTCTCTTTTGACTTTGTATGTATTAAAAAAAATGTTGTTCTGATGTCAAATAGGCTTGTGTGTTGTTATGGTTTGGGTTTATCCCAGTCCTAAGAAAAAGATGGAACCTCCTAAGGATTCATGTGTTAGAAGTCAGTCCCTAGTGCAGCAATGTTAAATGGTGGTAGGATGTTTATGAGGTAGAGCAGTGTGGGAGATCACTGGCAGCATTGCCTTCAGGGAGTCAGTGCAGTTCTTCATCATGAATTTTTTTCAGAGAGACAAAGATCCAGCTTTTCAACAGTCTCTCTGGCTTGCTGTTTCACCAAGTAATCTCTCGCTCTCACACAAGCTCCCACTGTGATGTCATTTTCCATGATGTGAAATACCCAGAGAGCCCTCACTGGAACTAGCACCATGCTACTTGGGATTTGAACCTCCAAAATAGCCATATAAAGCTCTTTTTCTTTATACATTACCTAGCTTCGGCCATTTTACAGCAGCAATGGAAAATGGTCTAATATGTGTGTTAATAAACAAGGACACATTCTTTATCTTCCTGGGATTTATTAGGAAGTAATCAAGAATGCACTGTTTTTCTTCTTACTTCCCTTGACAAGTCAGACCAAAGAATTCCCTCAGAACCCTTTAGGAAAAGCAACAAGCAAACTACATTCTCCTTCATTCACATAGTGAATTACATCTCTGAATGTCTCAAGATTCTACACCAAGAAAACTATTTTTAGGTCTGTTAGAATTCTGGTTATTTTGTTTTAACTATGTGGAAGTGACTGTGTGGGTATGTCTGACCTCATTTAAACACAGGACATTTGGTGCTGCAGTGAAGATTTAAACTTCGCAAATAGCTACTGGGTCCAGGTGAGAAGGGACTAAGGAATAAGTACTAGCTGAGTAGTGAAGCACAGTGCTCTTGTTCATTTGAACTTTACTTAAACCATGTCCTTTGGGAGACTACTATACCATACTTACTGGGGCACCCCTGGAGTAAGATTATGCTAGAGAAGCTATGCTTGTAATCAGAAGGTTCAACAGTCAACACTAAATTTAAGCAAGGGAGTTAGGTAGGAAGGCAAGACGCTGCTCCTATCACTTTATCAGGGTCTTCTTTTCTAGAAACCGAATTACTTAGCACTGCCAGGTATAGTGTCTCTCACTTCCTTGAAACTAAAAGTTGGCTGTAGTTGTAGTATTTGCAAGACTTTCTTACAAGGACATGACACAAAGTATTTTAATCTACACTGTTGGAGCAGCAGAGAAAGATACAAAGAGGCTGGTGCTTTTAAAATTTTTTTTCAGAGAGACAAAAAATAAAACCTGCAAGTTGTTTGGTTGCTTACCTTGAATTTCACAGACTGCCATTTGGATGCTCCCTTTGCAACCTTTCCAGGCATCTTCAGGAGAATCATAATAGGATAATATTCCTCCACACAGAAGGAACCACCGAGGCTGCCAACCTGAAAACAGAAGCAAGAGCATCATTGCAATTACTACTAGCACATGAGGTGCCTACCAGGACACAGAAACTAGGGCCTAACAAGAGACCTGGTCTCAGTTGTAAGGAGCTTTATATTGCAAGGGAAATTTTAGAGGAGTAGGCAGGCTAGAAAACACTTGTATGTTTGATCCTATTTTTGTACAATTAAACACCACAGAGGCACAGAACATGAAGTATGGAACTCTTGAAAGGATAAGCAACAAGCATGAATAATGATTCTTAAGATAATACAATGTATAGGTAATTTTATTCTTTTTTTACCTAATACAATAGTAATCTATGACTTTTAATTTTTCTGAAACAAATGGTGTTACACACACTTTTACAATATACTTTCTATATTAAAAAATGTATCAGGAAATTTAGAAATAAGCAACAAAGATTAGAATGCCCTTTCAACAAATGTTATACAACTAGGATCATAGAACTCTTAGGAAAAGGTAACTTTATTTCACTTACTGTTTAGCATTAATTCATCAAAACAGAGTGATCTTAAAACATGCAAGGTTTAAGTCCATTCATTCAATACTGGAGAATTCAGGGGACAAACCACATAGAGTAGAAATACATTTTATCCAGTCTTCTATGATAATAGGGTTGGTTCAGTCAAGCTAACCCTATTTGCTACATTTCAAGCTATAGTTTCACAAAATGTCATCACTGACTATCTCTGAGCAAGTTTCTTCCAACAGGCATAGCTTGTTTTTCCTTTCTCTAAAATGCTACAGTCATTTAGGGACTCATTTCTCTCCTGAGACTCTGCTGTGGCTGAAGCAACTAGAGAAAAAAAGACAATGGAAGAGGTGGGTTTCCCAAGTTGTGGGCCCTTGTGGACTGCTTCATATGACCCAACTGATATCTACATCAATTTACTATGTTCTAAAGGGAGACTACTATACCATACTTACTGGGACACCCCTGGAGTAAGATTATGCTGGAGAAGATCTGTTTGTGATTAGAAGGTTCAACAGTCAGCACTAAATTTAAGCAAGGCAGTTAGGTGGGAAGACAAGATGTTGCTCCTATCACTTTATCAAAGTCTTCTTTTCTAGAAACCAGATTACTTAGCACTGCCAGGTATAGTGCTTCTCACTTCCTTAAAACTAAATTACTAAGAGTATTTCTACTATTCAATCTTCAATAAAACATAAACTGAAATATCCAGCCCTTTCTCTTCAAAGGTAAGAAATCTTGTCACAAATAGTAGATTTATAATCTTCTTATTATACTTTATACTGAAGGCTTCTTTCCCAGGGATTCAGATCCTTTACTGAATGTCAGGACGGGGACTTGCCAGTTAGTTCAGTTGTTTAAGCACCTGTAACCCAATCAGGCTTGTGGGACCATGGTTTGATCCCCAGCTTCACACACCACACCATACCTTAAGACAGCTGGAACCAGTCAAAAAAATATCCTTCTGAATGTCAGGATACCTATGATATTATCTGTAAATCTACCTACGTCAATTCCAGGATCACAAACTTCTCAATGAATGTGTAAATTTTTATTTCAGAAGGCAGTGTTTCCTGACCTTGGCTTCATATTCTACAGAAATGCAAAGGCCACCATTTATGCAACAAAAGACTACAACCGAGGAAACCAAACCAATCATCAGATTATGTTCTTTTTAAGTAGTCAGCTCTGTTAGAATCAGACATTACTGATTATGTTTAAACCCTTTTCTGGGGAATCTGATTATGTGTACCTCAGGCCAACTCTTCTCATTGAAACAGAGGAGTCAGTATTTTAGAACTAGAGAAATAGAAGGAGTCTTTAAAATCATCTAATCAAATCAACCCATTTTACAGATGAACCAATCCTACGGTACAGAGGCTGCATACAGTAGAGCTAGGAAGAAAGTTATGTCTTTCTCCACTGCTCCATCTGGCACAAAAACTCTGACCTCAGTCCTCACTCTGAGACCGCTATTCTGGTACAAAATAGTAGCATCTTTTCATATACCTTGATTTCTGGTTATTCCCTGACCCTGAGTTTTGAAAACACTCCCCATATCTATCACACTTTGTGTAGAAGGTGTCCTCAATTACTACATTTAATCAAATTTAGGATCCAATTGTATTAGCATTCTCCAGAGAAAACAAATCAATAGGATGTGTGTGTATATATACACATAAAGAGATGTATCAAAAAAAAAACTCTCAGATGATTCTATGTAGGATAAGTCCTAAGATCTATAGTAAGCAAACTAAAGACCCAGAAGAAAATATGCTTCATGTTCCAAAGGCAGCTAAAGTTCTAGTTCAAGGCAGGTGGGTAAGAGAAACTGGCTTTCTCTTTGCCTTTTTTGTAATATTCTAGTCCTCAAGGTATGGATGACACACATGATCATTAGAAGAGCTATCTATTCAGTCTTCTGAATCAAATGTTAATCACATCCAGAAACACCCTCACAGAGCCATCCAGAATAATGTTTGTTCAAATGTCTGGTTGCTTGTATTTGTACCTGTCAGCTTTCTGCTATTGTAACACTTTTGAGATAAACGACTTGCAAGGAGAAAAGGCTTATTTTGGCTCATAGGTTCAGAGGTTTCTGTCAATGATCATTTGGCCCCACTGCTTTGGACCTCTGGTGAGGCAGCAAATCACAGTGGAGAACTTGTGATGAAGCTATATGATTTCTTCATGGTAGCTGGGAAGCAAAAAACATAGAGAAACTAGCATCTCAATATTCCCTACAGGTTTCATCATCTACCAACAGTGACAAACTGAAGATCAAGATTTAAACATGGGCCTTTGAGAGACATTCCAGATCCAAACTAGTAGGAGGAAGTAAGTCTCAAAATGGGGTGGGAGGATCCTTTAAAGAGTGCATTTGGTCTCTGGCTCCTTCCTCTCTGGCTCCTCCCCTACTCTCTAATTCCTGGCTATAATGAATTGAGCATCTTTCCTTTGCTAAGCCCTTTCACCTTGATGTTTTTGTCTTGCAGTCAGCTGACCATAGCCTGAAACCATGAGCCAAAATATTTCTCTGAACTGACTTTCTTGGGTGTTTGGTCCCAGTGATGCAAAGCTGACTAATATAGGGAAGAGGTAAGGGAGGGGTGGAGAAAAGCAAGGCAAGTTGACCTTTGCTAATTAAGCAATTATATGCACTAATTAAAAGATCCTTCCAGATTACAGAGTTGTTTACATGTAGAAAAGAAAATGTCTTAAAATTGAAAAAATGGGGGCTGGGCATATAGCTCAGTGGTTGATGATTTGTCTAACATCTTCCTGGGTTCAAGCCCATATGCCTGAAGAAGAAGAAGAAAAAAAAAACAAAAACAAAAATAGTACACTACTATACTACTTCTATCTTACAGGAATCTGAAAGAAAATAGCCTCCCCTCCCTCATAAAGCACAGTTGCAGTTTTGGTTTTAAAAGCTAATAGTAAGTTATAATCATAACTGAAATAACACCTTCATAACATGTCCTGTATTTATCCAGGGAAGTTTTAATTATACAAAGGAACATTCAATATGTTACTATTTTATTATATAGGATGGAACTACAGAAACCTAGAAAAAGCCTTTTAAGCATAAAGCTCCTGAAGCTGCAAAAGGCACATTAAGAGAACACAGAAATCTCATTCTCATTAGATGAGATTTCAGGATTTTTTTTGGGGGGGTGTGGGGCTGGCTTAGGCTGCCTTAAGGGTGGGTCTAGTAAGGCATGTGGAGTTGGGAATCGAATGATGATATTTCAATGTAGATGAAAAGTCCAGGTTAGTAGTGAGACATACTGATTTTTTGTGATGTCCAGTATTGAAAAAACAGGATATAGTAGGAGAACAGACGCATGGATAACGAAAAGGACATTAATCTACTTTCTCTTTTAAAAGAATCTGCAGTTACCTTGGAAATGATGAAAATACTCAAGGTAACAAAAGGGCAGATGAAAACAATGGGTCCTTACCTGTTATTGCTTCCTTACAATGTCATTAGGTTAATATTCCTATGCAACCCTCACTTGTTCTTTTTGCGACCCATCCTAAGAGATGGTTACCAGCCAAACTCCCTCCTTGGAAGGATTAGATAAGTAACTTATTGAACAGAAATAATTTTTTAGTTTGTATCAGTTACTGCTTCTAGAGGTGGCTAATAAAGGGGAAAGAAAATATATGTAAATGGAAGTTTGCTACACATTTCACAGTCTTGGATTATTTTAGTATATAGTTAATATTTATTTTTGGCCATTCGGCATACATTTTGCACATTTTCATTACTGAAAATCCCTTTCTCCACACTTCACCCATATAATCTGAATAGGTTAATCCACTCCAAGCAGGCATGTAGAGCTGATCAGGCCTACATGGAGCTTCACATCACCTTCCTCAAAAATAGTTGCAAAATGGGCAAGTGGCCCAACCATAGATCATTCAGGGATTTTGCTGAAACTGGGAAAAGAACTAGAGACAGGTTTTTTTTTTTGTTTGTTTGTTTCTTTAATGTATTTACTACAGGGTCTACTGGGTCTCACTACATAGTTCAGACTTGTAGTGATCCTCTGGAGTCTTCAGCCTCCCAAGTGCTGGGATTACAGGCGCGTGCCACAATATGTTTTTTATTTTTGGTCTTTTGGATGCCTGGCATGAGGTCCTAGGAGCCATTTTACCACCACATAAGACCTAAATATAATTTCTACATAAATAGAAAAGGGAGTTGGAAAATATGAAGGACAAAAGAAGAGGACAAATCTGGATGATAGGGTTTGAACCCCTCAACCAGGATGTGTCATAACTGAAGGTATGGCATGCAGTGGGCTTCCCAATTTAATTAGCTAATAAATGCTCCTCTAAACTTTAATTTCAAGCCTGTCTGTACTGGGTTTTTCTTCAGATAGAAGAGTTCTTAATTATCATACAATCACCTCTAAACATAAAAAGTACTTGACAAAATCTAACACCCTGTCAGGATAAAGACAACAGAATGAAAGAATAAAAAGGAATTACCACAAT